AAATAAAAAATAAAAGTCTAGGAGCTGGGCTGTCACTCAGCTGGTAGAGTGCTTACCCAACATTCACAAAACCTGAGGCCTGATCCCCAGTGCTGCACAAGCTGGATGTTGCACAAGTGCACAGAATCTCAGCACTTGGTGGGTAGGGGCAGGGGGTCGGAAGTCTGAGTTTATTAGTAAACTATATAACAAGGTCCAGACTACCCAAGGTTCACAAGACCCTGACGAGCCCCTCATTGGTGTCCAGTGCAGAGTGATCAGCCATGAAACAACAACAAACAAAAAAAACTGACAAACACACAAACAAAAAAAACTGACTCAACGGCTTCTAGTTATATAGATTTTGAATACATATATATGTATGTAGCAAAGACAATCAAAGTAATGGTGACTATCACTTTAAGGAAAAGCATGGAAGGGGCTTAGGGGAAGGCAACTGTCCAGGGCTGAAGGGAAAAAAGGAAGTAATATAATTCTATTTCAACTAAAAATAAAATATAATTACTCTGAAAATAAGCTCACAAAGAAAATATAAAAATAAGTAAGGTATAGGGAGGCTGGGTTGAGAGGCTGCTGCACAGTGAAGAAAGGACAATCAAGAGAGTGGACACAAGAGAGGAAGTGTCCGGTAGGCAGGCCAGAGAGTTTTCCAGAACTAAAGACACTTGAGTCAAAAATCCCAGAGTGTAAAGTACAAAAAATAATAGTATAAATATAGTATAATTCACTCGGCAGTGGGGGTACACACCTTTAATCCCAGAACTCCAGAGGCAGAGGCAGATCTCTTTGATTTCAAGGCCAGCCTGGTCTACAGACCTGGTTTCAGGGCAGCCAAGGCTACACAAAGAAACCTTGTCTTGAAAAAAATTAAAAAATAGTCTAATTCTGAAATTGTAACACAACAAACTGTTCTTAGAAGAAATACATCCACGTGTTGCCACAGTTAATCCCACTGATAAAATTTATGGTGTGCTTTTTATTTCCTTCCTTAAACTTTAATGTACTTTCTAAGCGTTCTACAATGAAAAGACATTATTTTTATAGTGTCTGTAGAGAAGAATTCATTATTTCCAAAAACACACATACACGTAAGTACTTGTTTAAGATCTGCCCTCAAAGATTACATCGTAAGAGGAGGAGGTAGATGGCACATGAAGCTCACTCAAGGCTTCCTCTGCCTCCACACACTGCTGCCCCCACACACTACTGCACACACACACTGCTGCACACACACACTGCTGCACACACACACTGCTGCACACACACATTTAAAATAAACACAAAGGGCTGAAGAGATGGCTCCGCAATTAAGAGTACCTGTTGCTCTTGCAAAGGACCCAGATTCAATTCCCAACACCCACATGGTGGCTCACAACCAGCTCCAAGGGATCCAACAGGCATGCATGTGATGAACATTCATGCATGCTAGCCAAACAATCACACACATAAAGTAAAATAAACAAGTCCTTTTGTGACTCTAAAAATATAAAAATTAAAAATAAACATACCAAACAAACTCCACACAGTGACTGGCATGGACAGATGTAGGTAAAATATGAACCCAGCCTTTTCCACCAGGATGCCAGTGGAAGGAGGAATTCAAGGGTGGTGAGCAGAGACGTGATGGTCTAATCAACTTGCTGGGTTTCCTGGGCAGCAGGAGTCTGTTTCGCTTCAATAAGCCAAGATGAGGTGAGAGCTTCATCTACACCAAGCCTAATGCTCACCTCCAACTTAATGATATTGCAGGAACACTCACTGATGCCAACCGAAATCAGTGCCCACAATAAATTAAATTAATACCCCAAACATCTGTCACTCGACACCACTGCACTCAGTATAAAGCAATGGTTCTCAGCCTGTGGTCTCCACCCCTTTCACACGGGTCACCTAAGACCACAGAAAACACTGATATCTACATTATAATTCAGAACCATCACCAAATCACAGTTATGAAGTAGCGACAAAGATGATTTTATGGTTGGGGGTCAGCACAACATGAGGAACTGCACTAAAGGGTCGAAGAATTAGGAAGGTTGGGGACCACTGGTGTAAAGCTTTGTTCAGGGATCAAGGAGACTAAGAGAAAGGTAGAAAGTGATGGATGCCTCAAAGCTTAAGTGTGTGAATTCCTGTGTGCACTTGTGCGTGTGTGTGAGTGTAAACAGATTCCGTTTAGCTGATAATCAATTATTATCACACTGTCAAGTCAGAAGTAAAGAAAACCTAGGTTTGTTCTGGGCGACATTACCCAACTGAGACTTCCTTATGGAGTCTTGTCAGTCTGGGGAGGGTAAGGCCTTCTGTCACAATACTGTCAGCACACCTAAGCAAGGCCGCTTTAGACAACATCTCATGACTAGTTCCATACAGCTAAATAAAGTCTGCTGAATGCTAAGCAATAACCCAAGCAGGTGGTAAAGAGACAAGTCAAACATAAGCATTCCTGATGAAGGAAAGGCTGTTTGCATTTCAGACAACTTTCCTTTTTAAATGTACACAGGTTTCTCCAAATATCACCCTCCAAACCCACTCCTCCCCACATTCCCTGCCCCTTCTGCACATGAGGCCCAGAGACCCTGCCTGTTTGCCCCCTTCAGTGACTCCGGGCCGCCGTTCTGACTCATCTCCCATTTCTGATACAATCAGGAATCTCTCCTAGACCAACTCTGGAGAGCCCCAATTCAAGACAAGTCAGCCCCTATGGTGGGCTTGAACACAGATAAGTCAGCCCTCTCTTTCAATCTCTCTCTAATCCTGTCTTCTCTGGAAACGTCCTTTCTCAGTAACCTCTTACCATTTCCTGGGTCCTCCCCCCCTTACTCATCAGCACAGGCTTCTGTTCACTTAAATGCACTTTTACTCCATCTTCAAAAGGTAAGTTCACCCCCGAAGGAAAAAAAAAAAAAACACTCATCCATTCCTCTGACTTCTCAAAACTCTCTTTCAAGAGAGGCTTAAACTAGCTAGTCAGAGACCAGCATTTTATGGATCAAAGTTCCTTGATAGTCAAGGTCACAGCACACCAAGGAGTGCTCACATTGGGGGTCCTCTCTGTACCCACCTTACCACCTGTACTGTGAGAAGGCAAGAACACCCCACACACTTCCAACTCATAGTTAGGAAAGTTACACAACCCTCCCAACCTCAGCCGGCCTTCCCAGGCCTCCTGGTAGCAGAGTTCTCTGATGGCTCTCACTGTGCAGCCCTTACTAGCCCAGAACTCACAGGGCTCTGTCTCCTGAATGCTGCCATCAAATGCATACGCCTAATTTTTTCTGTACAAACCCTGCTGTACATGTTCATCTTTATGTGTTGCTTCTATAATCAAACCTTTTAAAAGGGAAAGTCAATGATAATAGTTTTCACAATCTAATCCCCCTTTCCCCTATACTTAATACGATGGTTTCCTCTTAATTGAACAAGCCCTCTAAGCTGATTCACTGCCTCTCCCCCACGGCCTGGTGCCTCCTATGCAATAAACCAAATGTCTGCCCCTCTTAAATAAGGAATGTTAAAGGTTAGGTTTGGTTTCCCTGGATCACAGCTTGGGACCAGAAAAACAAGATTCAGTTTTCATCACTCACTGTGTGTTTCTGGGGAAGTCCCTTAACAGCTGTATGCTTTAGCCACTTGGAGAGTTTTAGTAATCTTAAGGCCGTTTGCTGTTCTGACATGGCACAGTAAGCAGAGCCCAGCCCCTCTGCTTCATTATACCAGAAAAGGGGCCTCCAAAACAGAAAGGTGACTGGGAGAGGCTCGCCCCACATGAGATGCTGCCGGTCGGAGGGCCATCTGAAACCAGTGTCCAGTGAGGTACTGCACCATTTGTGTGTTTTCACTGCATGTGCCACAGCCAGGAGACCTGGAAGAACTAACACAGTTCCCGGGGGAGCTGCCGAATGCACTGCCCAGAGAGGAAGCTGGTTTGATGAGCAGAGCAGCGTTTCAAGAAAGGCAGAAGGAAAAGTGCTGTTAGGAATAGCCACCGTTCCCCAGCTGTACCCTGTTACCTAAGGAAAGCTCTCCAAAAGGTCTCCTGGCCTTCCTGGCCCTCCTGGGGCTTGTGTGAAGTGGAGTAACAACACACTAACTCACTATCTCCCCTTCTTCCCATTTTTTTTTGTTTTAGTTCTCTCTTCCAACTTACCCCCCTCTTGACTTCAGCATCATTCTTAACATCCCACTCAACCTTTAAGCCTCCCCCGTCCTCCCCAAACCAATGCTCAAAAAAACCATGGAACAAAGCCCAGAAGGTAAGACATATTTTCACTCAATTCTGAAATCCAACTTCCACACAAGGTCAATCTTCCAGAGCCAATGCCTTCCATCTGAGGGTCTCTGGAAGCCCTGTTCTGAAGAGATCAGCTCACACAAGAGCTACCTAGGACACCTGGGCGGGCGGAGTGGGGAGGGAGGGGGGAACGACACAACACAAGGCCTGGAGTTACTTCCTGGCACACGCCTACTCCCTAGAGGCAGAGTTCCGCCCACATGCCTCCAGCCTTGGGGTTCTCCAGCTCCCACCTCCATTCCTCTAAGTCTGGGCAAGCACGAATCTGTTCCTTTCTGCGTTTGCTAAAAACCTCACATAGCCATCCTTAGTATTTTTTAAGTAGTTTTAATAACTTTACCTCCCCCCAAAAAAAGAAAAGGGAGATGCTGATGAAAACTGACTCTGTAGACTTGCACTGACCCCAGTGCTCCCCTGCTAGCCTCTGCCATTCCATCTCCACGCCCCATCCTGTTCTTGTATTTTTTTGTACTCTTCTGGCACACAGGGAGCGTCTGAGTATCCCATCTTCAAATCCAAAAGCAAACGGCGTTTCCATTTATGTCTGAGTCAAAGAGATACAGCGCACGATCCTTAGACCAGAGGCCACTTAACCTGTTTTCACACCCAGTAGATGCTAGGGGCGCCCTAGGCCCCCCTGTGGAGGCTGCCATTTGTAGAATCCGCCCCTCCAGGACCCTGGCAGCCCATCTCCTCCAGGCCTTACCTTGTCAGCCATGATCATAGATGCACCCCCGTGAATGCCCAAGATGGGGATGAAAGTCTGTGAGGAGATAAAATCCAGCATCTGAGCCACAGCCTCCTGGTCGGTGTCGTCTCCAAACACGAGGCCATGGATGCGCGCCCCAGACATAAGGTCGCACACATGCGTGATGAGGCTCTTGGGGTCAGTGCGGTTCATCAGCAACGCCACCACGTTCACGTCCAGGGGCAATCCGGTTGCCTGCTCCGGGCCCCACAGATTTCGAAGTTCGCGCTCTGTTACGTCGTGGCTGTGACCCAGCAGTACTGCAATGTTCAGCGCTGGGGGACCCTTCTCCGCCGCCGCGTCCTGCGCCGGACCGCGCCAGACCAGAAGGGCCGGCAGTACCAGCAAGGTCCAGTAGCCCAGTCTGCCCATGGTCGCCACTTAGGGTCCCTGTGAGGTGGAGGAGAGCGAGAAGCAGGACGGCGGTAAGTGAGGGGCCCAGGTGACAGGAATGACTGCCCCAGCACCTGCTCTAGGAGGCAAGTGTGAAACAGGGCACCAGCACTGGCTGCTTTGGCCACTCACTGGAGTCCTCATCGCTGATGCCATCCGCATCTCTCGACCCACGTTCATCTCCATCTATCACTCCAATCCAAGCTATTTCTCCATCCCTGTCCCCAAGCCCATCCTGGCATTCTGCCTTCTCCTCTCGTGTCTCCAACGACTGCCCCCAACTCCAACTGGGTCCAAATCCCACACAAGAGTTCCCAAATTTGATGCAGACCACAGCTCCTAAGTGCCCAGAGAGCCATGAACCCCACCACCACCCTCAAGCAGATGCCCAGACCAAGCCGTCTCCAACCCTGTTCCTCCGCAAGTGCGAGGACCAAGTTATCGGCCCCACCCCCTGCTTACGCGCAGTGAACTCCGAACTGGCCCCAGCGTGAGAGGCGGTGCCTGCACACCGCAGTCTGAATCTGTCGCTTGCCTAAATGGTTAACTGACCCCACCCCCTGGGAGTTCGCCCAGTGCGCCACAAACCTCGCTCCATTAGTGACACCCACCAGCTGCAGATCCCGCTCCTCCCCTGTAGGATACACCCCAAGCGCTTGAAAGTGAGGATGCTCTCTGTGACCCCAGGTTTCCAGATGCTTGGGGGAACTTGGGGCCCCGACCTCCCCACCTTGCTGGGAGAGGCTTTCCCTTTACGGCTAGAGGTACCAGGACCCGCCCCCTACACACAGGTGCACACAACCAAGAGCGCACACAAGTCTCTCACGCCGTGTGAAATGCAAAATTCTGGAGAGTAGGCGCGCTGCCCCTCACCGCCCCCTCCCCCGCAAGCCGACCAGAACGTGGGAGCTGGCAAAGAACGTCCGGAGGTTAGGGAATATAGGCTCCCAAAAAGCTCTCGGGTGAACGCGGAGTGTACAACCCCTCCCCAGTCTTTCCACTGCAGACCCTGGAGCCAAATTTTAGATGCACGTGGGCAGTGGGCTGCACACGCTAACAGACACGCGCGCTTTTCTGCGCACATCCGCAGGCCGCCTTGGAGATGCCCACGGCCAGCTGGAGCCCTCAAACGTCCTCGGGCGGCGCTCACACAAGTACTATACCAGGTGCGCAACGGTGCTTTCCTGCAAATGCCTGCACGACGGTCGTGCACGCGTGTAAAAGCACGCGCCCCTCGGCCCGGGTGCAATAGCACCCGGGGGAAGTTGGGGCAAACTCCAACGCTGGCATTTAGGGTGAACAAGGTGGAGTGCAGGGCCGCAGCGCCACCTGGTGCTCCTCCAGCGCTTCGCTACAGGGCTCTCCCTCTCCGGCTTACTCGCTCCGGATTTCTCTTGCTCGCTCCTTTTCCCCCCCTCTCCCTCCTGAACCATCTCCTGCTCTCTCCTCACCGGTTGAGCCTGTCTCCTCCCAGGCCCACAGAGCTCGTCTCACCAACCAGGACGTACCTGTAGCCGGAGAAGGTGGAGGATGCAATGGGGCGTGCTGCGCGCACGAGCATCTCGGCCGCCTCAGCAGCCACCGGGTTTAGCGGGTTCCCGCATGCTGCGGCCCCCGCGCGCTCCCCTGGCTGTCCCGCGCTGTCCGCATCGCCCCCATGGGGGGCGGCTATCCCAGCCGGAGGCTCTGCAGCAGGGCTCTACCGGGGCGGAGGAGAGATGGAGAGGCAGGGTCAGCCCACCAGCGCGGGGGAAGGTGGGGGGAGGGATGCAGTCTGCAGTGCTCACAGCCCCCTTATGCACCCTGGGGGCTCGACCAGAGAGGGAGCTGGAGCTTGGTGTCCACAACACCCTCGGTGCGGATCTTCCGTCCCTGTGGCTGACAACAGGAGCTCCTCTCAGGGACTCACCGGAGAGTGGGAGCCCCAGGTTGGCCACCCACGAGAAGCTTAGTGGGAACCTCCACCCTCAACCCCTACCACCACCCAGGCGCCGGCTACTGAGAGTTGTGCGACCAGGAGCTGCTGAGCGAGGGGGGTTGGGGGGTAGGGAGAGAAAAAGAGGAGGGAAGGAGGGGGCGCTGGCTGAGTTTGCGACGAGCCGGGAGGAGAAGAGGGGGAGGGAAGGACGCGGGCTCCCGCGGTCCCGGATCCCCGAGGGAGGTGTGATCACTCCCACGTAGCGACCCTCTTCTGCGTCCTGTCGCCCCCTCCTATCCAGACCTCCCCCCAACCGCTTCTCACAGGGCCCTCCCAGGCTCGGCGTCCCGCGCCAGCACTCACCGCAGCCTCTCTCCACATAGTTCTCAGCAGTGGCCGCCCCTGGTCATCTCCAGGGCTGATAGCTGCGGCCGCGTCTCTCAGAGCTCATCCGGCCCCATGCTCCGGCACAGCACCCCGGGAGCCTCTCTCCTAGAGCCCTGCCTCAGCTTCCTGCTCCACTCCGGACAGCAGCTGCCTGGTCGTCTGAGCGCGCCTGGACACCCTCTCCGCAGCCCAGCTCCAGCCTGACGTGCGGGAGAGCGAGTGTGTGTGTGAGTGTGGGAGCGCGCGCGCGTGTGGCCGGGGATCCCCGCGGTCCCTGGCCGAGAAGGTTGCAGGCAGAGGACCACAGCTTGCTCCGGGCCCTTCGCTGCGGGGTCAGCTCTGCGCTGGGCGTTTGGTCCCTCTCTTGACCAGCGGGAGCCCAAGAGAGTGCCTGGTCACCACGGTTCACAGCACTAGAGAAGCCAGGATCCTGGGACGCGCTTCTCCGCGGTCGCCTTGGAGGATAGAGGAAGGCAGAGGCACCCACCACACCAACTTAGCACTTGTTCCTGCCAACGAGACGCAACGCAGCAACCCCCGCGCAATCCGAGGATGTTTGGAGCTCCGGCCCGCCTGCAGCCGCCCACCCCGGAGGCGGGCCAAGGCAGACCCCGCAGTCCCTAAGCGGTGACGCGGAAAGCGGCCACCCTCTTCTGGAGCGCAAGGCGGTAGCGAACAAGGCCAACCGAGGTGTGTGGGGGGGGGGGGGGGGGGGGGGAGTCTGCGGTGGCGCGCAACCTTGGTGCTGAAACCACGCTCTCCGCCCGCTCCCGGGCGTCTGGTGCTGCTGAAGAATCAATTATTCAGATCTCTGCTACGGCTTCCTCCTCCAGTGCCTCGCACTGGGTACAGCAATCCCTGCTCCACGTAAGGCACGCCGACACGCACACACCCGCCCAGAGAATCTGCTCGGATGCTTCTCTCAGAGCCTCACCACCTTGTTATGGGAACCCACTCTGATGTCAGGAAACCAGGAACCTAAAAGCAAAAACATATACACTCCTTCCATGCACAGACGCGCGCGTGCACGCGCACACCACACACACACACACACACACACACACACACACACTTGCTGCTTTCTTCTCTAAGTTGTACCAGACAAAAAGTAACCCTGAGGTTGCCACTAAGTCACCAGAAGGGATGAGCAGAGAGCCCGGGGCTAAGTGGACTTGAGAGCTAGTGGACTCTAATTTTAGCGACTGAACAGGAGGCTCATTGTTAGATATCCACATTCGACCTTTGAATAGTCACCTGTGTCCTAACACCACCTCTACCTTTCTCCCCTCAAGAGAAAGGTCTTACATTCCACTTGATGCCTAATGTCACCTGAATGCCTATGATCCAAATTCATATGTTAAAATCCTAAACCCTAGGGGATGAAATTAAGAGAGCTGGCCGTCACAGAGTGATTAAGTCATAGAATAGAATATCATTAGTATCCTTATTTAAAAAAACGTTCCAAAGAGTTAGCCAGCTAGACAGCTCCTTGTCCAGCCAGAAGCAGCCCTCATGTTGATTTCAAAGAAACAACTGTGAAAACGGCCTTGTGGCTCATAAACTGCGCAGCTTTTGCTATCACAGGTCCACCCAACTCAGACATTAGCATCTCCCTTTAATGATTGGATAATCTGGGGAAACAGAGGTACGCAACAGTAATACGAATGCCTATTATTCAGAGTTATCTGAAATGAAAAGACAATGGCCTTGGTCAGAGCCAGCAGGCCTAGCTATAGTAGGTGCTCAGGAAACATAAGTACCTCTACAGTGACCCCTCCAGGAGGTACTTCTAGATACATTGGTATGGCCGCAGGAGAGCAGGCAAGAAAGGGACACCAGTCCAAGAGACCTGTGGATTTACTGCTGCGCTGATCGCTGTATGGAATTCCTTGGGGTCTTACTCAAAAGAGAGAGCAGAAGAAGGTAAGTAAAATGTAGGAAGGATCCTGTGATATGACTGAGGCAGAAAATGAGGCTATGGTCCATTTCCTGAGGCTATGGATGGGCTGAACTGAGCAGGTCTCTCCCCTGTGTGAGATATCCTTGGGGACTCATGGAGAGGTTAGACTTAGTTGAAGGAGCTATAAATCTGCCGCCGGGTAAGTATGCACCTGTAGCTTCAGCCACGGAGGGGCGGGGGCTGTGCAGCCTGAGCAGTAGGAAGAGACAGTCTTTAAAAGGTAATTAACAAAGGGCAAACGCCTCAAGTGTCAATCATTCATCAACAGGGCAGTGCTAAAGTCAGGCCTAGTGTTGCAGCTACTTGGGAGACGGAGGTGGGACAATCATAAATTCAGAGTTTCCATGGACTACAGAGTGAGTTCAAGGCCAAGCTGAGCAATTTAGTGACGAAACCTTGCCTCAAAGTAAAGAGTGGAAACAGGGCTAGGGATGGGGCTCAGTGGTAGAAACTATAATCTTGATTTCTAATGCCATACAATAGTTCTGTCTCTTCCGTTAGCGTCATATAAATGGAATCCGCCAGTCACTTGTTTTTATTTTCTAACTGGTGACTCAAAGCTTCACCCATTGTTAAGTGTGTTGGTAGCTTTCGATTTGCCTTTTCCAAATATTTATTTATGGGAAGGGCATCACATGCCATGGCATGTGGAGGTCAGAAGGCAATTTGCCTACATCACTGGCTCTAGCCACCTCACTGAAGCAGGGTCTCTCTCGTTATCTGTTTCTGTGTATTGCGGGCAAGCTGGCGAGCTGGCAGGCACGCTTCCAGGGGACACTCTTGCCTCTGCCTCCCAGTAAAATGTTAGTATTACAGATTCAGACC